TGAAAGGCTTTTCTCAACATTTGTTACTTAGTTTAGATATGTTGGGGGACAAATTCAAAAGCAGAATTGCCACATAGTAATCGGCCTCTCATCCCATATCACACTGTGATAAATATGAGCCATGGAATCTGACAAGACAGGCTTAATCACAAGCCTCCACCTCACCATGTAGTTTTTGACAAAGTCAGGCAGTTGTACCAGCCACTGTTGTCTCACTTGACAAATGAAATGTAGGGGAAGAGCAGGATGTACAGAGCTGCTTTCTGAACTCCGTGTGAGATAACAAGTCACGTCTGTTCTTGGGCCCATAACTCAACTCTGAGACTCAGGTGCTCCCATGGCCAAATAAGGGTTGACATATCCACTCTGCCCAACTACAAAGTTGCTGTAAGGACTGACTGTGGAGAAATGTGCTTCTCTCAGTCTAAAGTTTAGAAATGTAACAGACCATTCCTAATAACAATGTTTGCTATCAAAACACCTCATCTCATATACATGTATGCATACTAATTATAAGTAAACTCCTCAAATCACATTATTGAAATCTGTTGCTTCCCAACTCTCTCTTCCAGGATATAGAAAATAGTGAGATAAGTAACTGGCATGCTTTGTCACTAAAAGAAACTGTGCTTTGTTCTAGCAAGGCAAGGACCAGAAAGTTCTTTCCCTAAGACTGGCTAAATACATTCTTCTGCCATTAATAAAACAAACAAATAGAAAAAGAAAAATGCAAAATCCTTATTTTGTTTCAACACCACAGCTAGGAAGAGCATTTTAAGCCAATGTAACACCTGACAGAGAATCCAATGCTGAGAATAAAAGAATTGTGCTCAACCTAGCAAAATGTATGATTTTGACCAAAGCTTGCTAATATGAGAAATATAAATTATGTTAAACAGAAATTATGGAGATTTTGAGACATTTAGGAGTAGCTTAAGAATTGCTCAGACCTAATGCTTGTTCCTAAAGAACTGAACCAAGTACAGTCACCACACAAGGATGGCTGCTCCCAGCTGAAGTAAGTGTCCACTGGTAAGGGAATGCCATTCTTTCATTCACCCAGTCTCTAACTGTGACACCAGCTGCTCAGGACGAAATGACAGTATGCTACAAAAACCTACACATGAGTAAATAAGATGACATTGACATACAAACCAGCAAACATCAGATACAGCACGAACACCGACAAAAGAGGGCAAGTCAGGGAGACGGGGAAGACTTCCATAAGAAGATGGCAGCATCTTCAAGCTTCAGTGGATAGTCAGAAGTTTGTCTGATAGGCAAGACCCATCGAAAGGAGAGGGGTCTGAGAGAGAAATGAAGTTGTTATTTCCTTTCAGGACAGTTGGGGCGCTGGAGCCAAAAACAGACCTGGAACAAAGTTAATGCTATTTTTACAAGCTAGAAAAATACCAGCAGCAGGAGTCCTGGCCAGAACCACCCCCACAAAGTGCAAACAAAACTCCTATCTGCTGCCTGTCTGCTGGAGAACTCACTAACCAGTCCCTTAAGAACAAAATGTTCTTTTATCTTTGATTTTTTATTCCCACAAAGTCCTTCCTCCTGTTTCCAGAGCTGGAAAACACATGAATTGAGTTGTGTTGCTCTTTGATCTTTATCTTCTCCCTCTCAGGCTCTTTGGGAATAAGAGTCTATAGGGTAATTCTGTTGAGAATTGACCCCTCCTCCTGGTCAGATTATGGGGTTCATAGCTGGTCAGGTCAGACCAGAAAACAACATCCCATGGTTGTCAGGGCAGCTTTGTGAGAGGCCTGCATGGCATCCCACTACAAAGTTAGGTTCTTATATTGACATTTGGGGTCTCAGAACTAAGTTCATCCAACCAGTTCTTATGGCTGTTTCTGGAAACCTATACAACTGAGAGTAGTGAATTCCACATTCATTTACAGGACCTAGAGAAAAACAAAATCGGGGCACCTTGGCAGACAGAGGGAGTCAGATCTTTGGATTCTTCTTTTCTCCTTGCCTACCTACAGGGAAGGAAATGAAAGTTCTGCTGAGAGATATTTCACACTTGGGATGGAAGGTAATATACAAAAGAAAGGCCTTTAGCCACAAATGAAAGGCCTTCAGCCACTAAGCTCTTCCTTTCTAATAGGCATTTTGATTCTTGGGTGAAGAGAGGCTTCATTACTGTGTGAGTGTGATGTGTATATCACCAGTTTTCACAGAAAAAAGATGAAGAGCCATTGCTAATCTTTCCCATCAAAGAGAAAACTAAAGTTTAAGAGGTAGCCCATTTGTAAGCAGGACAAGAATTTAGTCTGGTCAGAGACCTACTATCTCAAATCAATACTATAAAGCTTCACAAACACAGAGCAGGAAAACAATACAAATCTCTCCAGAAAGAATGACACATGTCTGGTATGCTCACTTCTGATAATCTCTAGTGTTCAGACCCCCAGAACAGACAGGTCTGCACATGCTTGATGGTTATCTTTAGTATATCTGTGGTCAAGTGGTCTTCTCAGGTCTCTCAGGCCTCTGTTCTCCTCTGCAACCCAACATAATAGATACAAGGTGGAAAATGAGTAGAATTTTTGCATCTGGATCTCTTTACCTTCACAGATATCCTAATCCTGAGCTGGCTATATAGAGTATCTTTTAGAGTGAAGGGGGTTCAACCTCATTTAAGCAGCTGACAAAAGAGAGAATCTCAGAATTTATTCTATCTTTGAACTTCACAAACTCATTTTCCATAGGTGGGGAACTGATTAATGACTGTAAGAGAACTTCAGCACAGAAGACATAAGTCAAAGATTCTGGAGATAACACTTCTGTCAGTGAGCTCTGCATTTAGGCAATACACTGGGGCCATCTAGGAGTTTCCCCTCTCAGAGAGTACAGAGTGTCCTGGACAGAAATAAGAAGGTGAGTTTTGATTTGTCCTTTGAGAGGTCAGGGAAGCTGACAAGGGAACCACAATGTCTGAGGCTCCCTAATACAAGGGCCTCTTCCCTGAAGCAAGTAGTAGCCACAGCCAAGTGTCTGTCACCTGGGTGAGGCAAATGGTTGAAACTGTCACCCCAGGGACAATTGCAAAAGACATTGATGAAGAAAGCTTCCCTGACTGCCTCTGTGATCTACACTGTCAGGGTGACTGTGAGGCAGGAACACTCCATGTCTGTCCACACCTCCAGTTCTGTCTGTGATTGTACTTTAAAGCCCAACACATGACATTCTACTCAGAAGCACTGCTCATACTGGGAAGTGCTGGAGAAAAACATCCTTGCTTGTGGTCAGAGCCACACCACACCACCCAATTATCACATATGCAGTTCTCTTGTTTATTCTGTCTCTGGACCAGAGCCCGAGAACAGAAGGATGAAGAGGGACAGAGCTCTCAAGCTGATAAGTGCCATCCAATCCACACATCAGGAAACAGATGAACCATCACTGTAACAATTAATGTGACTTTACTGAATACATTTCTTAGCTACCTATAAAAACAGAATACAAGGCTCCCCACTAGGCATATGAGATATAATGGAATGAGATATAGAAACTCAATATATGCAAGTCCTTGAAAGAGTCAACTCTTGATTTTAAGGCAGAGGTTTTCAATCTTCTTAATGCTCAACCCTTAATGAAGTTCCTCATGCAGTGGTGACCCCAATGATTAAATTATTTTTATTCTTACGTTGTTACTGTAGCTTTGCTACTGTTATGAATCAGAATGTAAATATCTGTGTTTTCCAAAGGTCTTCAGCAACCCTGTAAAAGAGTTGTTCAACCCCCCAAGGGGGTGGGTCATGACCCATAGATTGAGAAACACTGCTCTAAAGTAAAGTGTGAATCAGCAATTAAGATTTGGAGTCTTACAAGGCCACCGGACTGGCTAAACTCTTGTCTCATCTCTCAAACAGCTAAAACTACAGTTACATGTAACCACACATGCCTGAAGTTTTGTGACTATAATCCATTATAAGACTTTCATTTTGGCCTGCTAAACACATACATACACTCACAAATGGAAGCATAGGTCCACAACACAGTATTTATTTACCTGTACCATGGGAGACATAGTCTGCTGTGTTCCAACTTGCTGTCATCTATTTATACCATTCTAGTCTGAACATTTAATGTTATGTACTGACATTTGTGTTGGTATATTTGTCTTATGAATTACAAGCCATAATTTGAAAAAACTGCTCTTGAATTAAAGTCTAGGGAAAATTATATGACTATAGGAAAATTGAGAGATTCTGATCATCATGCTAGCTAAAAAAATAAAGAAGAAGGAATCTGGAGTAGAGCTGGAGATGAGAAGACAATCTCCACATGTAACTGGAATTTTGTGCTTCACTGTATTTTTTTCTACTAAAAATTGGGAAGAGAATTTGGTTTTATTTTATTTTATTTTATTTTATTTAAGTTGATAGTTTTTAAGGTGGTGAGAACTGACTCCCAGACCCTATCCACGCTGGGCAAATGCTTTACCCCTGAGCTCCACCACAGACCCAGGTTGTTTTACTTCCCCTTCTCTAGCACCATTCCAGAGTGTGGTGAGAGGTCAGACTTGAAAGTTATATAGGAAACGAAGTCATGACTTCAATCAAGTAATTGAATTTATGAAAAAAGCCAAATATTTTACTAAATATATTTATATTATGCTTAGAAATATTTTGCAGTTCCAGTAATAAAAAAGAATACATGATATTGTTCTACCATCACACACTATAAATGAAAGTGAACATCATTTTTTCAAATTTCAGTAAGCCACAGAACTATCTAGATTAATATTTATATTATGATGTATTAACAAATTAATAATTTAGAAACAATTTTTCTATTTGATTAAAAGTTTTCTAACTCTATTCAAGTGCCTACATGTATAAAGAAAGGCCTTTCATTCTTACATCTTGACCCATTAGCCCTTGACCTTTCCTGTGCAAACAAAGAAGTATCCTGGGTTCTTGGCAACAGTCCATTTTCCAGAGAACCCACAGAGCTGGTACTGGAGGGGAAGGAGAGTTTACCTAGTCCTCCTGCATGGGCATCAATGAGTGAGGCTCCCACTGCAATTCCTGAAGGAAGACCCAGCTCTCTGGCTGCTTCTGGTATGAGCCCCATTCCAAGAGAAGCTCCGGGAGGCAACACTAGATTTCCTGGGTTAGACATAAGAGAAAACAAACACCCATCAGTCTGGAATACACTAAAAGGAACAGAGGGTTTTCTTAAGAGAACCTTTTTGCTCCATCCTCTGTGCCTGCCTTTTCTCAATTTCACAAAGACAGAGCCATGCAGTCATGAAATGTCCTTTTGCTCACTTGATGACCATGGTATATGTCTTTGATATGCATGTAAATACACACTCCAAAAGAAACAGAAAAGTGACTTCTGTAGTTGTTTCCTATCATAGGATAAAGGATAGAAATATTTTGTTCCAAGAAGGAATTTAAGCTTTGTGTTCTAGCTGGATGAGATAGCCCAGCTGAAACCTTGGGGATTCCATGAGGCTACTGCTTACACAGAAACAGTTCTTTGGAGTTTTGCAATGCGGTGACCCTGATATTTCATGTGACCTTGAGTTCTTACAGTCAGGCAGGCTTTTAGTTAATAATTTATTGATTGTCTAGCTTTGTGTGGGCACTGTGAAGCAGTAAAAGGCTGTTCTTGTTTTCCACCTAGTTAGGGAGATGCGACAAGGACACAGAAAAACCATGCAAGGCAGAAGAAAATGAAATGATCTCTCTATTGTCAGCTGTTTAACTGAGGTTGAACCCCCTTCACTCTAAAAGATACTCTATATGCATCTTTGCCTTGCAGGGTTGTTTAAGACTTAGACAATATGTATTGTAGCATGCAATCTCTTTTGTGCCTTGTGATTTTAGAACGGGCAGAACTGCCTTAGGATTTCAGCTCAGAAAAAAGTAAGTGAAGATGGTAAATGGCTCCAGCAGCCCCAGCTAACTGGAAGTAAAGCACCTCCCCACTCCACCCTTACAACTCTTTTAAATAATGAATTTCTGTCTACAACTAACTCTGAAAATAGGTTAGCCCAAAAGACTGACATCACTATGGTGTGTTTTAGAGCTTCTTTATTCAAAACTGATTTTAATTAATTTACATTTAAAATGTAAAACCATTGAATGTCTGTTTTGAAAATCGAAGTATGTTTGGAATTATCTGCATATGTAATTTTACTTTTCCAGCATTCATTTAAGAAAAGAAAAAATTCCCAGTGGAAATATAGTATGTGAATTGTAATATGCTTGGTGAGAAATGCAGAACATACACCAAAGAGACATTCAGTCTGGAAAGGTAAATGTAAAGTGTCTCACTTTTAATTCCATATAAGCTGGGGATGCTGCAGTTTACTGATAGTGTGAATGTCTAACATGAATAGGATCCTGGGCTTTATCCTTAAGCACAGCAAAAAGAATTGTTAGACCAACTGTATGTTGAAATGATATTTTTATCTATTAAGTTAAATAAGACATATCAAAATTAATTCATCTACTTTTTTAAAACTTTATCCTGAGGACTAGAAGGGTTGACTTGAATTATGCTGGTCTAATGAACAGGGTACAAATATAAGAGAAGAAATAGGCTAACCTCTGGTCTGTACTGATTTCCCAGGGCATAAGAACTAAGGAAGGGCTGTGTTCTAGATTCGAGACAGTCTCTTAATTATATCACCATATATATTGTGCAAATGTGTCAAACATCTGTCCTGGGATGAACCTGTCTAGTCTCTGCACTGGACTATCCATGTTGTCACTTTGTTTGGCTAACAATAATAGTATCTGTTCTATCCCCATCTCATAGGCAGCTGTCAGGAAACTGAAAGTATTACATGAGTAAATTTCTTGCAGCCACATAGCTTAAGAGTGGGAAGTAGGCCTTAGAGTCTCCTCTGACATCAAATCCTGTACTCTGATGTCTGAAGTAGGAATCTTTCGCAAACATGCTCTGAATAAATGAAAGGATCAAGAAAAGTACTTCTGAAACAAGCATTATTGTATATGTTAAAACTACTATCATTTAAAAATGCTGCCTGCAGAGTTATTTTATGGTTTGATTTCTATTAAAGAAATGTAAAAAAGAAAACTCTGATCTACCTTCATCTCTATCTCTACAGCTTTAAAGGGAGTAACTTTCCTGGACAGTTTTAGATAATTTGCATGGTGGATCTCTGTTTTCTGAGGAGATTTAGAAAAAAAAAACTTAAGTGGTAAATGAACAAATCTCTTCTTTCTGAGAAGGCTTGAGGAAGACTGTGAGCAGGGCCCTGGGCTATCAGCAGACTTGCTTGTCAGTATACACACAGAGAAAGTTAGAGAGGAAGGCCTTGCAATAACACTGCAATGCCTGGCCTCAGCACTGACAGGCTAGATCCCCACTGAACAGGCGATTCCAGAGAGCATGGTGGCTTGATCTGGGTTTTTAGATCCTCATTCTAGTAACATTTTACAAGAGGACACACTTGAGAACAGGAAAAAAAACAGAAGAATCATTAAGGTAAAAGAGTAAATGGGATGCAGGAACAAAGAAGACATGAGAGATTTTGCAGAGCAAGAGATAACTAATCATGGTGGTAGCTTTGATGTAGGGAGTATGGAGGAGGAGACGCTATGGCTTGAATTCTTCTATTAAGAAAGGAAAATCCGACTGGTATAAAAGATTGAGGGTGCAGACAGTGGCCAACTGCCAAGCTCAAGTCTCTTGAATATCATCAACTGCAGATTTTTTTCTGTAGGGCCCCTGTCCTGTAACTCAGAGAAGGAGAGAATCCTGCTATGTACCCCTCACCCTACAACACTGCTGGGCTGACCAAAGTGATGTGCAACAGTATCCACTGATGGTCTCTTGCATCACAGATAACCATTCTCAGTCAACAACTGATACCACATCTGTCTCAACTCTGTTCCCAGAGAATTCACCCCAGGACAGTAAGCCAGCCTTCTGAGGCTAGTGATCTAGGAATAAAAGTTAATGTTCACCATGATAAATATCTCTCCTTAAAGTGAAACCACAGTGTTCAGGAATCAACTATCTAACCTCAAACAAGAAGGATCTCTGTTTATCCAAACCAGAAGGGTACAACATGAAACAGGAAGGTGGAAGTAACTGTTGTGAGAATTCCGGAAATCTCCCTTCCACATCCATGGTTTCTCAGCCAAAATCACTGTAGAAGGACTAGGGCTGTTAGACGTGACCTGACACATTTCCCCAAAGTTTTCACTCACCATAAAATTTAATAATCACAGCATTGCTCTTCCCAGAGTAATCAAGATGTCCCTGACTCAGCATCTGCAATCTCTTCTATGTTTTGTCAAACCACTCACTCATGTGTTTCACAAACCAGTCAAAAACAATGCTTAGAGGACATTTCACAGATTCTCATTCACCCTGTGCCAAGTTCTAGGTGTTGGTCAATAAGTGAAAGCGCCCCCTACAATTTTAAAACATTCACCCTGAAGTCTACAACTAAAAAGTTGGGAAACTAAGAGAGTAATTTATGGAGATCTGAAAATGGTAGAATTATGTGATGTGCCCAAGGAAATGAGGAGGGCTCCCTACACAGGCCTCAGAGAATGAATGAAATCTTCAAGGTAGAGGTAACACTTTAGAAGTGGTTGGGATGACTTCCAAAGGTGAACAATAGATGCTATCATACTAGAATTAGAATGTTCCAGAAAGTAGCTCCATTAGAAGAAATGGTCATACTAGAATTAGAATGTTCCAGAAAGTAGCTCCATCAAAAGAAATGGCGGTTCACTGTAGGAAGCCTAGAGGGGCCAGGAGTTGCGATAAGTATCCAGTCTATTAGAATACAAACACTGAGAGGATGGAAAAGAGGATGAAAGAAAAGAGGATGCCTATGAAAGGGACAGCACATGGCTGAAGATAGCAGGGCACTGAGGACCTGCCCACATTTGACCCTTGGATTTGCTTTTTAAAAATATAAACCTACTATGTGAGGAAAGGCTAGCATAGGAAACATTGTTTTATCTTTCAAACATCCAAACAAGTGAAAAACGCAGGGTGCAAGATATTATGCAGAAGAATATGACTTCACTGTAAAAATAACAATGTTGATAGATAAATTTATAAAACTACATTCCTAGGAGGTAAAACACACACATACAAAATATGTTTCTAATGGGGGTGTGGGTGAATTTGTTCTTTTTATTAACCTATGCTCTCTTATGTTCTACTTTGAACAAACATTTCTTGTATAATAGTTTTAGAGGTGTTTCTCTTCTGGTCAGAGAGAGAGAGAGAGAGAGAGAGAGAGAGAGAGAGAGAGAGAGAGAGGGGGGGGGGAGGAAAGAAAGAAAGAAGGAAGGAAGGAAGGAAGGAAGGAAGGAGAAAAGGAACAGAGGGAGGGAGGGAGGAAGGAAGGGAGGGATAGAGAGAGGGAGGAAGTGCATGGGGAGAATTAAGGTATGAATTTGGTAGAAAGAGCAAGATAAAATAAGGAACAAAGCCAGGATGTAGAATAGTGTTCATCCAATGTCATATCTGTGATCCTTTTAACGATTCCAAACAATCAAGCACATGGGCACATGTACTTCCAGAAGTTTCTAGAAAAAAAAAAAAAACCCTGATTTCTGTAACAGCACAGATAGGATGTGCTGTGAGCTACTCTCCTGAACCATCCATGTCCTTCCAGATCATGACCTCGAGTGTTTGTTTATAACAAACCAGATTGGCTTAAGCTTAAATAACAACAAAATGAAAGCAGAGATTCCCTGCATCTTTTCCAAGTCCTGTTTCTCAGGCTGAAGACAGGAAAGAAACCCATGGGCAATTCACCTACACTCTGATCTCCGGCTGTGTTACATGTTCACTTTGGGATATCAGATGGCCCTGAGGACTCCTGGGCCCCATGAATTCCCATCTGAATGGACATATTTGGCCCGAGTGGTCAAAGCTGGAGCCTACAATTATCGGGTGGCTGCAGTCCCTCTTCACAAGCAGGGCTCCTATTACACCAAACCTTCCCCTACCAGTTTTTCAATTATCTATGACTAATGAGCACTCTGGGAACAGTTTCAGACACACACATAATCCTCTCTCCTGATGTCAGCAGCAGAAATTAATGACTATGTGGATTGCTGGGAGACAGAAGATGCATTATAATGGTCAACAGAACTGT